ATAGAAATGTAGTGGAGTGAAAAGTACAATATTTGTCTTTCAAATGTAGTGAAGTTAAAGTCATAAGTTCCCAGAAAAAATAATACTCAAGTAAAGTACAGATACTCAAAAAGTGTACTTAAGTACAATACTCAAGTAAATGTACTTAGTTACTGTCCGCCTCTGGGTAAATTACCGTTAAGGGATCATGTGTGAACAGGGCCTTTTCAAAAATACCGGTAATGTGCTCGGTGTGAACGCAGCACAAGATTACTGGTATGAGCACGTAGGAGTTCAGAACGCGCTGACTTAAAGGGATAGTTCACCCCAAAAATGAAAATTACCCCACGATTTACTCACTTTCAAGCCATCCTAGATGTATATGACTTTCTTCTTTCAGATGAATACAATCGGAGTTATATTTTAAAAAACATCCTGGCTCTTCCAAGCTTTATAATGGGAGTGGATGGTAGCCCAAAATTTGAAGTCCAAAAAATTTAACCAATCCATTATAAAAGAAGTCCACACGGCTCAGGGGGGTTAATAAAGGCCTTCTGAAGCGATGCTATGCGTTTGTGTAAGAAAAATATCCATATTTACAACTTTATAAACCTTAATCTCTAGCTTCCGCTAGCTGTCATACACGCATTCACGGGAAATGGTGTCCAGCAGATGACGTAGCACGTAGGCAAACACGGTGACGAACGCGGAAGTGCAGGGGAGAGAGCAAAACAAAACACCGGTCATGAATTAGTAGTACAAAACGAGGATTTGTAAAGAAAAATGTCGGAGGATTTCAATATAAGCCAAGAGGACACTGGTTTTCCTTTGCTGTAAACAAAACTTGTTTCTCGTGAGACTAGCATATTCTCACCGGAGTTTACGCTATGCCTACGTCATCCGCTGGACGCCACTCTCTCGTGAACGCGCGTACGACAGTTAGCGGAAGTTAGAGATTAAGGTTTATAAAGTTGTAAATATGGATATTTTTCTTACACAAACGCATCGCTTCGCTTCGGGAGGCCTTTATTAACCCCCCGGAGCCGTGTGGACTTCTTTTGTAATGGATTGGTTCAATTGTTTGGACTTCAAATTTTGGGCTACCATCCACTCCCATCATAAAGCTTGGAAGAGCCAGAATGTTTTTTAAAGAGGTCATATGATGTTGCTAAAAAGAACATTATTTTGTTTTATGCACCAAGAGCTTGTAACACTCCAAAGAGAAAGGAAAAATTTAAATCGCATCATATGACCCCTTTAATACAACTCAGATTGTATTCGTCTGAAAGAAGAAAGTCATATACATCTAGGATGGCTTGAGGGTAAGTAAATCATGGGGTAATTTTCATTTTTGGGTGAACTAACCCTTTAAGACGTCTACGCTGGGCCAATCAGAATATTTTGACGCAGATGGTGCATTTACTCAAATTGTAGGGCATTTGAAAATGAAAGATTTCAATTACAAGAGGAATTAAAATCTGCTGGCATAAATTCTCTTACCTTGCAGAGTATATTAAATAGTTCTTATAAAACACATAAAGCTCTTATAAATTTCTTGGAAAAAAACTAAATTATATGATAAAATATAGATAGTTTTTTTCCCCCTTGATATCAGTGCCTCACACTCCATCTCAGTAGGCGGCGGAATATGCACCATATGCATATGCACCAAGCTGGTTTGCCAACCGCCATAAAAAATCAAAAGAAGAAGACGACGCATTTACTCCGCGCTGTTTATGGAAGTCAAAGAAATGTCTAAAGTCATCTAATAAGATGTCTCTGGGCCAAAAGCGCTGCATGAATGTTAACGTTTGACACAAAAATGAAAACATCAACAAAAACACTGACTGCTTATACCCCTCCATGTTTACAAACACAACACCGGGAGGCGCAGCCTTTTAGAGGTCATTTCCAGTTAATGATGTAACAAAATTTACCGGTATTTTGAAATTGATTTGTGAATGGTGCTTTACTGGTAAAAAGACGGAACATCGTTGCCTGTGTGAACTGCGCATTTTTGTATTTACCGGTATAGTCGTTTCGGTAATTTTACGGCAATTTACTGGTATTACTGTGTGAAAGGGCCAAGTGTCTGCCCACTTTTTCAGCGCCTTGGTTCCCGAAGTATTTTTCCCATAGGGGTTTTACTAAAATCCAATGAAGCATTGCAAAAGACATTGAATAAAAAATTATGGCTAAATATAAAACTATTGATTTAAAGATGTTGATTATGTATATAGAAAAAATATTTTACATTTATTGCAAAATATGCTTATTCAAATATATAAGTAGTTTGAGAGCAAAAAGAGAGCATAATCACTTGGTGTGATTCTCTGTTGGCTTGACATTTCTTTGCAGTTCCTCTATTAAACATGATTATTTAAAAAATTAGTTGAAACAATGTGAGCTGATGACAAACATCACCAAAAGTGTATTACATGGATGAACAACCTTGTAGCTCACAGTAGGCCTGCCTTTAAAGGTTTATAAGTTATTGTTGAGTTATTTGAAACACAGCCAGAATGAGCTACTTCATGTCATTGTGAACTGAGATAATGTACGACAGCGTTTTTAGTGTCACTTAAAAAAAAAACGTATATTACGAGATTAAAGTCGTAATATTTTGAGAAAGTCAAAATTACGAGAATAAAGTTGAAATATTTTGAGAATAAAGTCAAAATATTTGACATTGAAAAGTTAATTGATTCACATGCCGCTTAAACTGAGGCGAATACAGCAATCTGTCACACCACATTAAACAGCGTGAAAAACACATTATTGTAAGACATATTGTTTGTATTTCGCTATAAAACTGACAGAATTTCAAAGCTGAGACTTTGTTTTATATTAAAAGTACCAAAAGCACAAAGCTTATTGCTGTTATACGGTGGCTGACGCACTACAAACAATGAATGCATTCAAAGACCTGAAATAATATTTCCAAGCATACTGTCCCCATGAGTATGACACTTGGTATGATTT